GACAATCTCGCTTGATATGTCAGGCTGTGTTTAACATAAAATAAACCTATCAATTCCCAAAAGAAAGAGGCAGGTCGCTATATCGACGAGAAATCTACGGATTGAGGTCAAATTGCCATTGTGTTGCACATGCCATTGCCATCCCTTCGTCTGCGTGAATTTGAGAATCTCCACAGCGAGAAAATGATTATCTGTATAAAATATAGGGAGAACACGCCCACACATATTGCGCCTTTCGCATAACTCATACATCTGGTATCCGTCAAAGGGAGAAGACTTAGGTTGGTTCTCATTAAGGCAGCCTGCAAGTAAGTAATGGCTGGCAATGGGGGATTCTTGATATCTGCTCGATCAGGACTTATTCACAGGGAAGCAGGATATGACGTGCTTCCCTGATATATGACTAAGTTTCCAGCATGAAGAGCACAGCAATCGGAGCATCTGCGATATAATACTTCAGTGTCCAGATATTATGTCCGTTGAATATTACAATCGGGATAGGATACTGACCTCGACCTAGCGAAACTGGCAATCCTGGTCTATAGCAAGCGGGACTGCGGGTCCCTGGTATTGGAAATCAGAGAAATAGCGAAGCATTGTGATGATTATTGACGATTTTATCTTGTCCAGCCCAAATGTGGAGACATCAGCGAAGATGACTATACATTCATACTTTACCCACACTATGAGTTGAGGCTATATTTGGAAATGCAATTATAATGTGATGCCCCGTTCGAGTAAAATTCATAAACGAGCCGTAACCGTAATTCCAACAAATATCATACTAAGAAACAGGCTGATTAGCTTCAAGTTACTCTTCGTCCAATTTCTTGTAGTCAGATGAGCCACAGCCTCACTAACCCCAGCGCTTATGCAGGTGGTCGTCTGGCTCGCCTATGCTGCTCTTCTGAACCCTGCATAACAGCTCTCCCGTCCTTACGCAGCCCTAATATACCTTTACGCCGACTAGAACACACCCACTTGCCTGAACTCGTTGACTATGCCAGGTGGATTACTTCGAATCAAAGATCAAGGGAGGCTTATCCTCTAAGGCCTGGGAAAGCCTGGATCCCGCCTCAAAGTGGGCTCGAACTAGTAGCGCCTCAGCCTCAGTACTAGCGATCTCAGGGGACAGGATGAGAGGCAAATAAGGGCATTGTGTTCTCTACATATCCAGAGACCTAAAATGTCTCAATAGCTTTTCCGACTAAAGATAGTGTCAATATCATTGCCTTCATGGAGATACTCTTTACTGGTTAGTCACAGCGATCGTTAAAGCATGATCTCACATTTCGTTTTTTCAATCACGAAAATAAGGTTATTTTCACCCAATACCGACACATAAATTTCCATCAACGAAAAGAAGAAAAATCTAGAACAAAAGTCCCCTGTGAAAAAGAAGGCTGATTCTAGGCCTATGCTTGGCAGCTATAGCCGTTATATAAGCACATAATATAGCCTCAACTTGCGTGGCAAATCCTGCAGACCCCGGCTAGAAATGATCGACCGCCCTATTGTCCACAGTTTATCTATCGGCTACCTTTTTCCTCTTCAGGGATAGAATCGCGCCCAAGGCCCACTGATGAGCTAACCTTGCATATCGATCCTTCCGGTTGCGCGTTCCGCCAATGATAGGTGGCGTCTGCACGATAGAAGCACAAAACAAGCTTGATCGATGGTTCCCGATGTGCTGTGCGGGTGATCCCCGATGGGTCATCGGGTGAACTGGAGATAACTCGGGCCTTGTCGTCATTTTGTTTGATACTGTGCCCTGCATCTTAGTGATCAGGGCGCATTGGTGTGCCTGAATAGACTCGGTCTGGTTTCGAATCAAGCTGTACTATAGAGTCTGTGCTCTACAGAGAGTTCAAGCGCTCAGTCGAATGTAAGTTTCCGTCATCTCGTGATGGGTTAGTGTGATGTGTAAGTGTGGAAGTTCCGTTGACATGCTGTCACACATGGAGATGCCATAGGTATCAAAAGGAAGCGAATATGCAGTCGAACTGAATTAGCAACCGCTCAGGCCCCGGCTCCTTCCGTTGTGGGACTTCAGTCACTTGCTTCGCTAGCCACGCCACAAGGAATATAGTATAATGGGTGAATGGATGACTGCTGTAAGGCAGTTATTTCCTGCAGGTGCTGGAATAATCCGGAGTAAGGTTGTTCGAATACCGATGCAAATCGCGTGACACACCGAACCTTATCGGAAGTGGATGCGCTTCCGCGGTTCGTGCCTGAACCTTTTTCTTCCAAGTGACAGGCGCAGAGTAAATGTTGTGATTCTATCTTGAAGTTTAAATACTGTTAGACCCATGGATTGGACAAGGGAAATTCTCTTTGCTCTGGTGTTTAGTCACTTAGGAAGTGGGTATTTACAACTATGGGAGACAATATGTCAGACTCAGACACACTAGACCATGAATCAGAGCGGGAGTACGTATTGATGTCTTGATCACTATTTGCAACAATCACTGACCGAAAGACAGAGAGACAGAGAGCTTCGACACTGAACCTCATCCAAATTTGTACAGACATGGTCGGCGCTATTCTTTGACACATTTGGAGCAGCATCCGTGGCCGATTGACGAGGTGAGTCCCTTACCTGCATTGGAATGCGGGAGCTAATAAGTCGAAGATAGAGAAAGACAGACTAGGTATGGGTATCTATCTGAGACGCTACAGCTTTCTAAGCTAATAATTGACATAGAGGAACAACACGTTTTGCTGCGTGAGCTTTTCGACGATAGATTATACCTCGCCCCTATAGAGAGTCCGCGAAGCGTTCTTGATATCCGCACCGGCACTGGCTGCTGGGCTATGGAATGTGGTACGTCCAAGCCGTACCTTCCAATGTTCTCCATTCAACTACTAAAATATCATACAGCAGAAAGATATCCTTCGTCGACAGTAAGTCTGATTATGGCCCGCGTTGAAGAAGAGAAACTGACCAGTTAGGTTCGCGGCATTGATCTAGTAAATATGCAAGATGAATGGTATGTCTTCATTGTGAGGCTTGGCGCTTTCAACTTCATCCCACTAATGATATAGGGTACCACCGAACTGCGAGTTTTGGGTCGACAACCTCTGCCAACCAGGTTGGCATACCCAATACACAAATATCGACCTTGTTCATATTAATCAGATTCAGGGTGATCGCCAGCTTTTGTCGCTCCTACTGGAAGGTTCATATAGGTAAATGCTCTATCAGTAGGGATTTTGTCCGCCAGACTAACTCATAATATTAGCTGCTGCGCTCCAGGCGGTTGGGTGGAGATACGTGATATGAGAGTGCAACTGGATAACCCTGGAGAAGATAGCCCATTCCACAATTACATCCGGGAGATGGCGACAGCCCAGGCCAGAGATGGTCGCCAGATGGATCTTCCTCTTCACTTCGGAGCCGAACTCACTCGGCATGGATTTACCAACATCACTGAACGTAATTACGACATACCTTTATGCACTAAGGGCCGCGATAAACTGAAGGAAAGAATCATACAAAACTGGACGACAGGGCTGGAAGGGTACAGCTTCACACTACTGGAGAAGCATCTTGGGAAGAACTTCACGGAAACTGTGCTAATGTGCGCTTCTGCGCGTCGGGCACTAAAGGGTAAGATTGAGGGATATTTGCAAATGTCGGTGAGCTTCCTCCGTACTTACTGGCATACTTCTAACACTTCGCAGACAAGTCGTGTATGGACAGAAACCGAGTTAGATGGGTTATAGAGCCAATGAATGCAATGAGATTTCTGCATTATCAGGACAATATGTTGTGTAGTATATATCTCCTAACCGCGGTAATCGGCCTATTTCATAAAATGTAAGGATGCAGCTGGTCCAGGCAAGCTTGCTCATCCCGCGTCGGGAATCTGCTGTCTCAGGAACTATATAGCTTCTAACTATTCTCGGCCCATCTCCCGTGATGTGTCACAGTAAAGTTCCACCACCGGCGCATGTGACACAACAAACCCTCACAAATGCACTTATGGATGAATCTCTTCAACTGAAAGTCTTACCTAAAAAGAGAAGGTTTTTTATCTATCAAATTAGGAATTGGTTTCTCATTCATATAGGTGATTAAGGCTCATGGCATTGATGTATTCTTAGATCAGCACTACATATAACCTTATGACTTTCTAACAACGATATCTTTGATATCTCTTGAAGAATATTACGGGTCATATTTCTGACAACAAGCTTATACCAAAATTCCTATCTAATCTTTCGGCGTCTAAAAATCGGCTATGCAGTCGGGATCGGAGAGACTAAAGAGAGCTCAACCCGGCCTGTATCTGCAGTTACGATTACTATCTATTCTTCGGGAGAACTCTATTTAGTAATATACAAGCAACATCATCGGCATTCAAAAGAAATTATTCCTGAAATATTGATTGCTACTCCCAATGGAAACACTATTAAATTGGGATTGCCAAGTTATAGGGTTGAATGATGGTGCGGAGGAGGATGAGGATGGCGGAATGGGGGCAGAAGACATAGATCATCTATAGAAAGGATTCGGAATGTTCCCGGTGCGGGCTCAGATCGGGGAGTAGTAGTAGATAAAAGAGATAATTCTATCTGGTATGTGCCGTTCATGTTGGGTGGGTCGGTGCAGAGGGTAGGGAGGTTTGCGAGTTATTATGGGATAGGTGGGCCGGATGGGATGGCGATTGATAGTGAGGGGAATATTCTAGTGGCGCATTCGACTTTAGGGAGGGTGTTTGTGCATGATAAGAGTGGGGAGATGAAGATAGTCATCAAAAGTGAGAAAGGGGCGAGTACAACGAATCTGACGTGGGGTGTGGGGGAAAGTGGTAGTTTGGATACGTTGTATATTGTGGAGAGTGAGATGGGTGAGATTCTGAAGGTGGATTGGCATTGTAAGGGGTGGTTGATTAAGGGGTTGGAGTAGGTAGAATTGTGTTCGTGATATCGGTGTGGGAGGTAACTATGGTGTGTTGATATTGAATGCTGACCCAGATAGTAGTACTCTTGCGTCAAGCGAACTCTTTCTGCTCCGCACTAGCCACTTCATACTCGTTTTTCTTTTCATCCTCATAGCTTACAGAAGTCCAAACATCCCCCTTCGGCAGTCGTCTAGCCATGGGAACAATGTCCCAGATCGTACGGGCTTCTTTGAAAACCCCATCGATCAGTTCGAGGTTACGGTTCATGGTCTCAGGGAAAAAAGGAAGAACAACCAGTGGAACACAGGCACATGTTACAGCAAAAACAATGTAATATCTCCATCCAATAGTGTCCAGTGCAGTTGGAGTGATCATCGTGATGATAAAGTTCCACAGCCAAAGGTTTGCGGTAGAGATGGAGGACATGGCAGCGCGCAGATGGACCGGGGCAATTTCCGTGCAGTACAGGAAGTTGCCACCCAGAAAGCCAATTGGATAGAAGAAGTTGAATAGGAATATGAACACTGCTGCAGTGATGGATGCAGCATGGTCGGAGGCAGGGAAGCTAGTTGAAACAGCCATAGCGATCATGCAAATTGACATGCCAGTTCCGCTCACCACGAGAATCACCCGTCGTCCGAGACGATCGACTGCAGCGAATGAGATGAATGAACAGAAGAACTTAAAGGTGAGGGAACTGGCGGCGACAATTGCCGGGATATCTCCGGTGAGATGTAGATTCTCTTGGAAGATCTTGGTGGTGTAGATCGAGATCAGATTGCCACCGACAAGTTGCTGCAGCGTTTGGATGGCGATGCATAGGGCAAATCGGTAAAGGTATCGGTTCTGGTCTCCTGTGCGGATGAGTTCCCGGAGGGACAACTTAGGAGCCGTATCGAGGGAACTATTGATATGCGATATCTCGGCCCGGACATTCTCGTCATCGGTGGACCTGCCGTTCAGCCTCGCTAGGGCATCGGTTGCTTCCTCTAAACGGCATTTCTGAACTAACCAGCGCGGGGATTCGGGAAGAGTGAAAATAAAAATACAGATAGTCAAAGAGAAGATGACAGGAATGGCTAGCGAAAGCCGCCACTGCAGTGTAGGGATGAAACTTTGCTGGTTCCCAGATTGATCCAACTGGACAGGACGAATCCCACGCAAATGAAGATGCCAGCGGTGATGACCTTACGGCCTCTTTTACCAGCTGAGGAGCTCTCAGAGTGCCATACAGGAACGATGACACTCAGTTGACCAACCCCAACGCCAAGTATGATACGGCCCACTGTAAACTGGGCAAGAGAGAACGCAGTACATTGGAGGATCTGGTCCACTGCGGCAAAAGCACCAGCGATAAAGATGCTGCGTCTTCGACCCACGGCATCACTGAGAAGGGAGCAGGATAAGGCGCCAACAAGAGCGCCTAGTTGTAAACACGCATTGATGAGACCCTCAATTGTCGAGTTCCGGGCTTCCGTTGCCCCATGGGTGTTAACGGTATCGATCTGGGGAAAGTAGTGAATCACATCAGGAAGCTCAAGAAGAGCCGAGAGGCCGGCTTGGTTATAGCCATAGAGGATGAAGGCTGGGCCAACGACAAGGAATAATTGGGCGTATTGGATTGATTTTGGTGTTTGCCAGAACATCGTGGTTGCGACTGGAAGATATATTTCCTTTAAAAGACTGAGCGATACTATATACGAATGAATAGCCCCTCTAAAATTATGCCGCGAGTATCCCAAGAGCACAGCAGCACATAATCCTCTTCCTTATGTCCTTCTTATAAGCTTGCCTCCTCGTTGATATAGAAGCACAACCCCGCCTGCGGAGGGTATCCGCCAACTCTGAATCACCCCACACCCCATTACCCCGGATTAACATTTACAAATAACTTAAAGAAGAGCAACCCGTAGATACCCAGTGCCCCACAAAGCTTCGAGTTCCCCTGTATCTTACAATGTGGGGATGGAGACAGTCTGGCGTGATGTCCGCCCAGGTGAACGGGTCGCTGCCGCATTCGACGGAGCTGATCCGCTGACTTCGGCTACGATGCTTTGCCGAATGCCATCATTGTCATCCTTATAAATCCCACACCAGAACAGCGTCAATGCGAGAAAACACTTATCCGAACTTGTTTCAAAGGATCTTGTAAGAAAACATGACCGGAAATATGGAAGCAACAGAGCCTGAGAACCAGGATTACAACCTCCAGCAACCAATCACCTCTACCACAGGTTTGCGACAAGGACTGACATCTTACGGGGATGCCCATTTCTCTCTGTTCCTGCGGAAGGTATTCATCAAAGCATTAGGATACTCAGAGGATGCGCTGTCACGGCCTATAATTGGCATAATCAACACCGGCTCTGGCTTCAACCCCTGCCATGGCAACACTCCGCAGTTGATCGAAGCCGCCAAGCGAGGCATCCATCTTAATGGTGGTATTGCCATCGACTTCCCGACCATTAGTCTACACGAGGGATTTTCGCATCCGACGAGTATGTTCCTTCGCAATTTGATGAGCATGGATACGGAGGAAATGATCCGCGCTCAGCCGGTTGATGCTTGTATTATGATTGGAGGTATTTCATCTATTCCCCATGAGTCGAATGATGCTAATACCTGCAGGTTGTGACAAGACGGTCCCAGCCCAGATTATGGGAGGAATTTCGGCAAACAAGCCCGTTTTGCCATTGTTGACTGGGCCAATGATGCCTGGAAGTCACAGAGGGAAGCGAATTGGAGCCTGTACCGATTGCAGAAACAATTGGGCTTCGTTTCGCGCGGGGGCTATAGACGTCGAAGAGATCACCTCCATTAATGAGGAGCTCGCACCAACGGTTCGCTCAACCTGTCTTCTCTACATAGATCACAGCTAATTGTCTCTAGATTGGAACGTGTGGTGTCATGGGCACAGCAAGCACAATGGCGTGTATCACGGCCGCATTAGGACTGACCCCTTTGCAGGGCGCTTCGGCACCCGCTGTATCGGCTGCAAGACTGCGTATAGCGGAACAGACAGGTGCTGACGCAGTAGCCGCTGCGAAAGAGAAGAGAACACCACGACAAATTCTGTCAGCCGACTCATTCTACAATGCCGCTGTTGTTCTCCAGGCCATTGGTGGCTCAACAAATGCCATGGTTCACCTGATGGCCATTATCAACCGACACCCTGATCTCACCGGCACAATCAATCTCAATACACTTGATGAAATCGGCCGGAACACCCCCCTCCTCGTGGACTTGAAGCCCAGCGGAGACAACTATATGACCGACTTCCACAACGCCGGAGGAATGCTATGTCTTCTGCATCGCTTGCGACCTTTACTTCGTGAAACCGCGATGACGATTACGGGCGAGACGCTAGGAGATATACTAAACCGAACACCGTTCCGGGACTTCGAGTACTCGCGCAAGATCATCCGAACACTCTCCGATCCGCTCTGTCCGTCATCCTCATTAGTTGTTGTAGCGGGCAATATAGCCCCCAACGGAGCCGTCATCAAGGCATCCGCTTCCAAAGATAAACGCCTCCTACGGCATAGAGGTCCCGCAGTGGTGTTTGAGAACCCCCAGGATCTCGCTAAGAGACTGGATGATCCTGAATTTGAGGTAACTGCGGATTCTGTTCTTGTTCTACGGGGTATCGGACCGATTGGAAACCCTGGAATGCCCGAGGCGGGTATGATTCCAATTCCGCGCAAATTGGCAGCCCAGGGAGTGTCAGATATGTTGAGAATATCGGATGGGAGAATGTCTGGCACGGCTGGGGGGACAATTATCTTGCATATTTCTCCTGAGTCTGCACTACCGGAGTCGCCATTCGGTGTTATTAAAACGGGCGACATGATTGTCTGTGATGTGGAGGCTAGGTTGCTGCAACTGGATATTAGTGAGGAGGAGCTTCAGGAAAGAATTAAACAGCGAAATCAAGCACTCACAGAGTCGGAGGAATCGGCGTGGACGAAGAGGCAGCATACAAGGGGATATAGGGGGCTTTATGAGCGGGAGGTCAACCAGGCGCATCTGGGAGCTGACTTTGGGTTCCTGACTGCAAATGGGCCAGCCAGTGTATAGATGGAATACGACCGACGAACTTCGACTCAGGTAGCTATGTATATTGTACGTCACCGAATGAAGAGATAGATTCACATGTGAGGCAACGATCCAATCTCCCAATTCCGTGGGTCATAAGACGTTAAACTCAGTCAATTAGTCAACCTGCCCTTCATTATCTCCAGTCTCACAAGTACAAACAAAATCAAACAGCCATTCAAGCAACAGACGTTAGAAGCTCCTCCATACCCTCCTCAACTCCAGACCGTTTACTAATAAGCAACCGCGTAGCAGGATCAGGATACATATCCGAGTCAATAGTAAAGTTCCTAGGCCTGCCACACCCATCCGGAAACCTCATATCGTAGCAGATGAGTATATGCGCCAGCATCATTTTCATTTCATTAGCAGCATAGAACCGCCCAGGACATGCGAACTTCCCGTAGCCAAAAGCGAGGTTATTATGATCGGTCATGACGAAGAGGTGCCGTTGGGCATTCTCTGGTTCCTCGCGCAGCCGCGCGTGGCGGAAGGCGTCGAAGGAAGTTGGCGCATCGCCTGGCACTCTAGAGGGATCGTTCAACATGGCATTAGAGGGGACAGCAATGCGGGAGCCGACTGGGACGGAGACTCCGTTGGAGAGGGTGATTGATTTTGGGAGGATTCGGTTGAAGGTTACTGATGTTGTTAGTCATGGGCATGGGATAGGGTGGGCAGCTGTGACATAAGCAGAAACACGGGATTAAAACGCTGAGACGCTTTCAGTAAACTGTCCATCTTGCGCAAGTGATTGACCGTCAACTTGCCCCAGCCGCCTTCGGCACGTAGCACATCTACCACTTCGGCTCGAAGGGGGTCCAAATATTCTGGGTGCGCACAGAGATCATAGATAGCTTGAGTCATGGTTAATGTTGTGGTGTGGATAGATGTCACGCTTAGAATCAACATCCGCTGGGCTAAGTCTTCGGGCTCTGCTTCCTGGCCGGTCGCTGCATCCATCATCCATTGTAAAATATCTGCAGGCTTAGTGTAGTCTGCCGGCTTTGCAGCCTCGATTTCTCTACGCTCACGTACTATCTCGCCGACTATGCGACGAGATGTCGCCACATTCTGCCATAGATGGTGGTAGGACGGTAGAAGCGGAGCAACAAATGGTCTGAGAAGGCGAGGGAAGAAGCGCAGTGCCATGCCCGTGAGGAAGAGATTCTTGGTGTATTCCACGGTGGCTCTAAGCCACTCTTCATCACGGCCCTCCTTGGGCCCAAGGAATATGCGGGAGGCAATGCAAGTGATTATTCGTGAGAGGATTGGCATGATGTCGATCGTAGTCCATTCGTCATCTGGTATCAGTTAGCAGACTGTTCGTGGTATGATTGGACGGACTACAAACCAGCACAGTCAGGCATCTCCATTTGCATGGCGAATTCCAGCTCCTCAATCATGACTGGAACCAATGAGGGTAGGTTTGGAGTAAGCTTTTGTTGAAGGACTCGATTCTGCAGATCGCTACGCAAGAAGGGCATGCCATGCGTATATTCACCAGGGTAGTCCTGGACGAGAGGGGGCACAGACCCCGTAGCATCGCGGGTCAAGGTACGAATCTCATCCATGTATTTGCTGGAGACGAGCAGAACATCGGTCCCGACTCGCCGCACTTTGAACATGGTATCTTTGAACTAGAGGAGATGTCAGCGGGCATGACCTGACAGAGTTCAGGGATTGTAAGTCACTCACATGCTCGTACCCTTCGCCGATAATTTTTCTGCTTCCCCGGATAAATCGAAGTCGCACCAACCACGTAGGTTCCCAAAGGCTTCGGTATCCGACAATAGGTGGCTGGCTGGTGGTGCTCTGCTTTTTTAATGTAGACCCTCCGAGATACCAAAGCAAATAGATGCCCATTAGGAGTCCCACTAATGCGGGCGACAAACCAATTGCGGCTGTCGAGTGGAGATCGGAAAAAGAACCCGATGGAGTTTCCGCCTTGTTCATATTGCTTATGTTGTGGTTGTTGTTCCAGTGCATGATAGATAGAGAAATGACTGGTAACGAACTCGAGCATATTAAATACTGGCATGCAACAAAGAAGGCGATAGCTACTGAGCAAACCTCCAGCTGAACTATGCAGTGCTTCGGTGTGATGAACATGCATTCTTCAGCTCTCTCAACCCCGTTTTGCCTTTTTTTAAGAACAGTGGGGCCGTGCTCGTTGGGCGGCAAAAAAGCATCGAACAACTTGCTTTTGATCGTGCGGTGAAGGGGAAAGGGAAACTATGCGGACTGCAGAAACTTTTCAGCTGCAACCTACGCCCCATACGCAATGCCAGCTGGTTATGTCCTTCTGAGACAAACTCTTGATTGGGCCCTTGCAGGACCTGCAATCTGTGTCACCGCGCTTAGCTGGGACATAGTCTTGCCATTTACGGCACCTGAAGCTGAAACTTTTTACTTGGAAGCCCATTGGCACATGACAGAAGCATAGTTCTCTTCTATTCAGGCTCTGTGCTCCGTTTCTATGCTTGAAGGGTGCACGGCATGCAATCTCATTGGTCGTCATATCTGGGGGCACTTTATGCCGACGGGAAAAGTGACGATCAATCATTGCCTATTAAGCTGACACTTGCAATGCTGCTGAACAAGGTTCATGGCCTTGAAGTGACCGCTACAGATGAAAGGGTGACTGAGTTTTGACTTTGGATACGGCCATCATGATTGTTGTTATGGTATAAAAAGGTGTCATGAGTACCCCATAAGGTAGTGGACATCTTCTTGCCCTCCCCCTACCAATCATAACATCCTTGGCTTTCTTATTTTTATAGCAGACCATGGGGAACATCATCAGCAAGCCAGTTTCCAAAATTCACCATTCTTTCTATCTCTCATGGGTCAACATATGGCTTTCTGAGCCTGATCCCACCCTCGACCAAGACTTTACCGACCCCTCCCCTACTGAACAATTTAAAGTGTTCCTCCAGGAATCTTCTTCTCCTCTTCCAAGCTACAGCGCTCTCAAGGGGGTGGCTTCGTCATTTCGCCGATCCATGGCCAACGTGCAGATACGCCTTGGTGGCGTCGATGCCCCCAGCTGCAGCGTGACCAACCTCGCGTCCGCAGATTACAGCCCAAACTCAAATTGCACCTGCAACGGCCTTTACCCAGTTCCAGCAGATGCAGACATAGCCTGCATTGTCGAACGCGCCGATTGCATGGCCATCCGCAATACGCACCAGGCACTTCAAACTGTCCTTGCGCGAAAGTCCGAATGGAACATGACATCACTCTTCACGCCCAAGATCCTCATAGAGGCCGTATCCGAGGTTCTCTTGGCCAACGCCGACGTTCAAGCCTTCCCAAGCACATGCCAGTGGCCACCGGAAGTCACCAAGCTCCACTCAATCCGGGCGCCGGATCGCCGACCTAATTCCCAAAATGACACCACCGACGTTATCCGCCATCAGCTGTATACTACAGCTGAAAACGTCAAATTTTGCACTGATGCCAAGTACTACTTTGTACTCGGCGCCATTCACAGTGATCCCGCACATGACGGGCTAATCCGCGCAATTGCAGACGCAGGTAATGATATCCTGGTCGCCGATTACTGCGAGGTAGCGGATGAAGCAACCCTAAAGGTACTACAGCAGACTGGCGCAGCCGCAGTAGCATTCTTCAAGCTCTGCGTGCTCTCGGGGTTCTTCTCCGAATGGGCATTCGACAACATGATGGCTTCAATGCTGCATTTCCGTGTCCTCGGATACTACCGCGACCATGTACGGGGCCGTTTACCGGCAGGTGTTTACGGAAGCCGGATGACCAGCCTGACGGCTCATCGGTACGTCGATCTAGGGCTGTTCTTCGCTGTGGCGTCTGCCTCGGTGTGGACGAAGCAGCAAGTCAATGAGACAGAGTACACGTTGTTGAGTATCGCCTGCACGCTAATCAATGACCTGGTGGACCTCCGCAGCGATACCGCGCGGAAGCAGCGCGAGAATGTTGTCTTACGCGGCGTACGAGGGAATCTGTGCGAATACTTGGACCGGGTAATGTTCGAGTGTCTCGAGACGGCTACGCTTGCCGTTCAGATGAATCCGACGTGCGCGTATGTCTTAATGGCATTTTGTAATTGGGCTGTGATGAGCTCGCATCATAAGGTGTATGAGGTAAGTACGCAGGTCTCTGAGGTTGGGAAGGATGCCGAATGTTTGGGTCGGTCGAGGGACCATTGGCGGGCGTATAGGGGGTTGCTAGAGGCGTTGGCTCCGTTTGGGACTTTAGGTAAGGAGAGTCCTCGGGTAGGGCAGACGCGGGCGGAGTTGGATTTCCGGTATGGAGCATGTCGGTCTTCGTCTACGATGCATGCGGCATGGTTGGCGGATATCACGAGAAGTCTTTTGGAGCCGCGGACTTTGAGGAGGATTGTGGATGTAGTGCATTTTGAGTGGACGGGGTGTGAGGGGGAGGTGGAATATTGCCCGTGATAGAGTATATTGCAGTTCGTAAGTTGGCTTTCTGCTGGGTACTACTTTAACTGTTTCACTCGATTTTGTCTCTCTCATTCTTACCTTGATCTATTAAAATTTACTGGGAATATGCTGGAATACTATAGCTTGAGGGACCATCATATTGACCATCTCTGCGGCGCAGTAATCAAGCATGAGAGATATAGTTGGCTGGACATAAGATATACTCAGTTCTGGTTTTCATTTGGAAGTTGAAACAGGATAAAAGAGAAAGAACAGAAAGGGAATTTCATGAACATTTGTGAGAAAGAAAAAGCAGGAAGAAATCGATTGAGGGAGGGAAAGAGAGAGAGAGAGAGGAACGTAGGGTAACAAACTACACAGTAATTAGCAACCGAGCCTTATGAACATGTGATGGATCTCGTGAAATTCGACAAGACCAGTTAGCTAGTCAGTTAGCTTGTCGAACTGAATAAACTAGCAGACGATAATAACCCGGCGTCGGAGAGTTGTCCGTTGATGGTGGAGCAATTGGATTAGGTCCGTGCATTTTGCGACCGAACGAACTTAGGATGGCTGCCAGCACTGCAGCAGAACTGTTGTGACTTGTGAAGGTATGGAAGTTTATGCAGAGGATGCTAGACTACTTAGATAGGTCTGGACCGAGGGCTAATATCCGACATGCTCGCTTATCCCGAGGGAACATCAGCCAACCAATTTTTGCATCCCGTCAATTTGGCTTTAACACCAAGCTTCAGATCTATGTCTCATAAGGAAAAGGCATCATGTCAGGCGCCCCATGTGGCCGCAGCAGGGAAATGAATTGAAATCGTGGTGCCTTCCGGCTGGATGCTGGACGTGTCCAATTTCATACGGGGAATCGAACAGTTAGTGGGAAAATTAGGCATTCCACTTCTTATCAGTCATCGCAGATATGAATGGCAACAAACAACAAATCATAGGGGGTAATCAGCCCCTCTTCACTGAAGTTTGGGGGGAGCCAACTTGGGGGCCAAAAGAGCTGACTGGTTCATGGCTGATCCATCCAGCATTCCGATTGCGTTGGTGCCCCCACCCCCTTCCCGGCCATCGGATTTGATTTCCAAATCCTACCATCTCATGTTATATCAATGGTAGTGCGAGTGGTGGTTATGATAGACAGACACTCAAAACAAAGCAATTGTAGACCCTGTTTTCCTGTCCTCTGACTGAATCGAGTTGGGGAAGTTTATTCCCCCCTGAAAAGCCCCAGAGTTGCGCTTTCTGACCACCTGGAAATCTGACAACAGCATCCTTCAGCTCTTCTCAGCATCTCTTGGGGCCAATCCCCATCGGATGAACATCTCTTATGCCTCATTAGGAATGGCTGAGCTGCATGTCAGCGGAGTCCCAACACCCAAACCCAATCCTTCAACCCGCTCCAGGCCTGCGAGGCCATCACCATCGCCCGCCTTGCAGCAATGTGCCCCGGTCGCATTCTTTCGTTTAATAGTCTCACCCTCGGCCAGCAGTCATCCTTCGTCTCGCAGCTTCTCCCTTCCTTTTTCTCTTCTTTTGCTTCCCTCCCCATCGCAGGCTGTTTAATGCCTGCTGAAGTATCCATGATATGATGCGACCGCTACTTCTCCCCCTATTGGGGGTATTTCTGCAGACCTCTTCTGCATCCAATCCCTATGTAATGAGCTGGTCCTCGCAGGCCTACGGTCCAGATGGCCCGTGGCAGGCCGTATCCGTCGATGTGGGCAGCAACAAGCAAACGGTCGATCTTTACCCCGGTGCCAATTATGCTAGCATGATCCTGATGAGCACTCTCTGCACGAACAAAACTCTGTCATCCACCTGCTACGCCGCTGAAGCTGGCACCTTCAACCAAAACACCTCCACCACCGCCTACACCACTCCCAGCTCGTGGGAAACAACATACTGGGCCGTGGAGGGCGGAAGCAAAGAATCTGTGCTCGGCGATGAAGTCACCTTAGGCTCGTTTGTCGTTCCCAATGTGAGCTTCGAAGCCATCTACCAGACCTATCAGACTTATCCCAATGGCATTGCCTATCCCGTCTCGGTTGGCAGTCTGGCCCTGGGGGGTCCGTACCTCTCGGATACTGTCTCCAATTCCACCGTTCTGAACATGATTGCCGGGTGGCTTTTCTCGTCCAACGACATCCCGTCCTACTCGTATGGAATGCATATCGGGTCAGTAGACCCAGAGATTGCCGGTTCTCTGGTCTTGGGTGGCTACGATAAGAGCCGAGTGATCGGAGACGTGAGTGCCCAAGGAGTAACCTCTTCGAGTGGTCTTTTGGAACTCGAACTGAAGGATATTGGGCTTGGGGTTGCTGCGGGTTCCTCACCCTTCAGCTTCACCAACGAAAGTGGATTGTTTCTTCAGAGCAGTGGCTCCGTCCAGGCCAAGTCGGTTCAGATCGATCCGACCAAGCCCTACATGTACCTTCCCCAGGCGACTTGCGATGCCATCACCTCCACCATGCCGATCTCCTTCAACTCTAGCTTGGGACTATATTTTTGGGATACCAGCAGCAGCGATTATTGGAATATCACGTCTTCTGCAGCATACCTCTCCTTCGTCTTCAACAAGAATGGAGTGAAAAATCAGAATATTACCATCAAGATTCCCTTTTCCCAGCTCAATCTTACGCTCCAAGAACCACTCGTCGATCAAAACGTGACCTACTTTCCGTGCTTCCTCACGACCTCGACCCCGGTGCTCGGTCGAGCCTTTCTCCAGTCCGCATTTGTTGGTGTCAACTGGTTTAACGGGAACAACTCTGGCACGTGGTTCCTGGCACAAGCACCCGGCCCGGATTATGCCAGCGCAGACATCACTCGGATCGAAGTGAGTGACACGTCGCTTTCCGCCTCTAACGGTACCTGGGAGGACAGCTGGGCTAAGTACTGGGGCATTAAAACGACCGACAATTCGAGTAGCTCCAAGGGTGGCCTGTCTTCCGGGGCCAAAATTGGAATTGGCGTTGGTGTGGGAGTCGGTGGAGCAGTGTTGATCGCAGCGGGTATAGCGATCGCATTTTGTCTTCGCCGTCGCCGCGTAGCGAGCCAAGAGGCAGTTGGAGAGCAGCGGAGGTCAATGTTTAGAGGGTTTGCGGAATTGCCGGGAGGTGCTCACAGTGAAGCGGCCAAGGAGTTGGATACAAAGATGCATAAGCCGCCGCAGGAGATAATGGGTTCGCAGGTGGTAGAGCGATACGAGCTGGGCTAATTCTGATCTTGTTACGTCAAGAGATATCTATAGTATACTACATGATACCATAAATGTGCGAATATAATACCTATTTCCTTATGTCATCATGTATCTTGCATACGTTGTGGTTTAATCGATGGCTTTGCTCTGATAGAATCATTTGCTGCAACTTTTAGTAGCAGTCCGGATACATAATCATTCAACGTGACTCATTTTGCAAACCAGCAGTAAGCTGACTCAGTGTATTTACCCATGAACACAATTCTTTCTCACCTCTTATGCACTGATGGATTGGTAAGTAGGGATTTGATTCTCGGAGATTATGATTAGCAAAACACGTGGATCTAGACCCGATCGGGCGCGAGCTTGGCATCAACTCTATCAAGATGGCCCCACTCCAGAAGACTGCCTCTTTGGGTTATGACACCAGATGCATCCATGGTTTGATAGAGATGTAACATTGCCGGCACTATATTACAAATCCCAACACATAGTACCAAGGTCCATCTATATAAGATCGAATAAGAATCCCATTGCCATCATCCTATTCACCTTGCACCCATCTTAAAACCCTCATCCTATACTCAGCAACCATTATACCCTCACATCAAAATGTCTCGCGACAACATCTCCCTCAACGGCTGGACCAGCACTCCCGCCAACGCCGGCCTGATCTTTCCCGACAAGCCCTTCATTCACCCACCCACCCCCATCCCCGTCACCGACATCCCCTTCCCATCCACTGATCCCCTCGTCGCCAAGACCCTCGAATCCGTCCAATCCCTCCTCCCCCACGACACCATCAACCACTCTATGCGCGTATACTACTACGGTACCCCTCCCCGCATTCCAACCCGTAACACCCCCTCACTAACCATTATTCAAGGAATGATCCTCCTAAAACAACAATTCCCCACCAACCCCCTCTCCCTTACAACCTGGGCCCTAACCTGCCTCCTGCACGACATCGGCACCGCCCCTACCCTCCTCACCGCAACGAATATGTCCTTCGACCTCCACGGCGGCATTATAGCTCACTCTATCTTATCCTCCTTCGACTGTCCCAGTGACATTGCAGATGCCGTAGCAGAAGCTCTCATCCGGCATCAAGATCTCGGTGTCGATGGGAATATCACGTTCTTGGGGCAGTTGATACAGTTGGCTACGATTTATGATAATGTGGGGGAGCATCCGCAGGTTAAGGACTTTGGTGAGTTGATTCATGAGGATACGAGGAGGGAGATAAATGAGCGCTGGAGTAGGGAGGGGTGGTGTGGGGTGTTTGCTGATGTGCTGAGCGTGGAGGTGCGGGAGAAGCCGTGGTGTCATTCAACGCATATTGTCGGGTTTGAGGGGAAGGTTAGGGGGAATAAGCTTTTTGGGGAGTAGAAGGGAAGTATTAGTTTGGGGGGTATGAGGGTGGTTGATTCCACGGCATATTGCGTTCAGTTATGTGGTGATTGTGATATGGAATACGATTAGGATATTATCAATTGATATATTGGTTTTTTCCAAGCTTTGCTCTACTTACGGACAAAGATTGTTCACACAAAGATTATGTTAGAATGTTGTAAACAAGGAAGTTGTAGCCCATTCATCCTTCTTTGTGTACCGTGCTGTCGAATCTATGTTGGCTCTATCCTCTTTTATCCATTGTTTGGGTCGGAGTAGCCGAGGTTGGAATTACGTGTATGGTTACGGAAATCGAGAACCTCTCAAGTTGTGGAGAATGTTCTGCACCTGCCGTGGTGCAACCCTTTTCTCGTAGGATTATTGAGACCCGCCATGATTAGCTCACGACTGCCATATAATTGAAAGAATGTCAATGGATATCATGAGAAACAAAGCAGAGAGAAAACTTTGGTGGCTGAGACCACCGTACTACTATTATATAGTGACTCTGTCTTCCCACTGTTTTGTCCTCCATTCATTCCCCACTCACAATAAGCAATAGCCAGCCTTCCTAATACTCACTGACTCTAACAACGAGCGTCACAAACTACGTCGAAACTCAAAATGGCACAGGGCTCAGGTAGACCGCTTGAAGAGCTGCCCGTCGAGCTCCTTCAAGCGATCCTCGCTGCCGCGCCAGACATCAAAACCCTGGAGGCCGCCGTCATGACCGGACCATGCCTGTATAACGCCTTCAAAGGAGCAGAAGAATTTATCGTGCGTTCAGTCGTGCTACGCCAATTCGACGCTGATCTGCTGCATGATGTCTTAGCAACTCACGCATCCAGCAAAATCCAGGACTGGTCCATCGACCAGGCCGAAAAGTTCTTGACGCCATACTTTGCCCGCGACCAACACCACTTCGTCGACTCTATGGAATGGAAACTCTCTCAGGCTCGCTCGATAGGCCGATTTGACAGGTCCGTGCAGTACTTTGTCGACCGTTTAGCCCCAAAAGCCTTGTCTCTCTACACCTTCTGGAAAGGCATGATGACCCAAGGTGTTCCGCCAACCAAATTGGAGAGAAACCGGTTTAGTCGCAGTCTGTATCGATTCGAAACATTTTGCAACTTGTACCCGTCCTGGAAATATGCACTGAGATCTGACACCGGCAAACTGTATATCGATAATTTTGCACCATGGGAGAACGAACAATTAGTCTGCGTTTCCGAGTCCTTATATACAAACTTCATCCTCCCAGGTACGCTTCATCTTTCTTCTTCCATCCTTTTCCGATGACATCATCCTGTCAGAACTGACTCTGAGAAAACAAATCCTAGTTTTTTCGAACCCCAAACTCAGTTCTAATTGGCTGGAGCCTATACCCCAAAAGCCTTCGTGGATCTTTCAATCATACATAGAGGCATACGCAGAGTCTCACTTGTTTCGCGGCCTTACTCATATTCGACGATTCGCGCTGGAGAAGGACACGGACTTACAACAGATTGCGCAAGTCGTACCTGGAACACGAGTCGATGGTATGGGTGTCGACTCTTTCATCAATGACATGACTCGTTTGCTCGGGCGGGATGAATCTCCTGATCTCGAACATTTTAGTGCCGAGGACGAAGAAAAGTACATCCCTCGGCCATGGTTCCGTGACCCAGACAGTGGGCCAGAAGATATATGGCGATGGGCCAATCTATGGAGCCAGCGGAAACATTTTTTTGCTGCTCGCAGTGCGCAAGATTTGCGGGAGTGGTTGTTTGTGATGTGGGATCGATGGCGCATTGACGAGTTGCGTGTTTTGAATAAATGGCGGCCGTTGCCTTATGGTGATTGGTAGATATCTAACGAGCCGTGAGAAAAATGGTGGCTCTAATGCCCAGCATTGCTATATTCGTAAGGCAGATTAGCCCAATACTACATCCTCTTGGAATCTGGAGGTAGGGGATATTCATATTGAATGCCCGGTGATAATCGTAGTAGTATTGTCTCGGTCCGGAGAGTGTGATTTCCAGCAGTCACTTCCTTTAGATTCTTTTGCTCATATGGTATGCATATGTCGGTATCTCTCTCTTTAGCCCCTCAGTTTCTGTCAAATTCATAAGATTGTCGCCCGAAAAATAGATGCTCCAATCAATGATGCTTTACTACGCCCTTCCCAGCCTAAACGAAGCAGATCCAATCCGCACTTATAATATCCCACGGATTCTGAACAACTAATATGACAACACCATCATACACCCACAAACTCAACCCTAATAAGGCCATACCTTTTCATGCAGTTCCCGTTGTTGATCGCCCTCGGCTAGATTGATAAACTCGCTCTTAAAGTACTCACTCACCATCTTGGCATGTTCATACTCCTCCGGCCGAACCATCCCTCCAATCGGAATAAGTCCTTCTTCTTCTAACTGCTGAACGATGTTTGAAAGCCCCTCAATTAGTTCCCTTTCGCGTTCATGTTCAGCTAGCTCATCGACATCAAAGTCAACCGGGCATGGTGTGTCGTCTTGCCGGAGTTGGTCCCAGTATGCGGCAACCTTGATCAAAGACTCACGCAGTGAGAAAGTGTCCTCGCGTTCCCAACATCCAGATATCAGATTAATGGGGGTGACTCGTGTCGATAGGTATGGGTCCTTTAATGCCTCAGCTCGGGCTGGATTTACTTTTTCTGTTACTTTGTAGTAGTATTCGAGTAGCTCCTTTTCCCTGCCTCTTTGTTCATCGCTGCCTGGGCTAAGCGAGAGTTCCAGCATTTGCGGGTGAGGATGTTGTAAAAATGATGGCGTTATGGCAGCGAGTTGCCAGTCTATGATGGAAGTGATCTGGTGTGTTTCACGATCGATGAATATATTGTCGAGGTGGAGGTCTGGGTGTGACAGCGTGTTAATGTTGTCATATTCAGAGCAGGGCTGATTTGGTACTAGGTGTGGGGCAATGTCGAGATAGCGCTGGAGAAGAGCCAGGTACTCGTTGGGATTTTCTGGAGTCTCTATTGACCGGTAGTAGTTCATTCTTGGCTTTGCATGGCATCTTGCCCAGTTCAGTTCGTTACTTCCAAGAGCAGTCACGTAATGGATAAGGTTGGTCCCTGATCGGTTGTCAGTAGAGTTGATATCGAAAGAGAGGTTCTACCTCTTTGGAAGATGAGTCCATGTCTTACATGGTCCTCTATCCAGTCTTGTGGAATGGCGAAAGACATTCCACAATTTTCGGTCATTAGATGGTCCAATTCCGAAACAGGACAACTGCCTGCAATCCTCTATGTTCAGCCCTGGCGATATGCTAAGCATAGTATCGAGGCCTTTAACATCAGGAACCTCCGATTTGAGGTCGGACGTGTAGTAGAGGCACCCTTGCATGGGGAACGATACAGATGCCAGTTTCCTCTCTATTTCAACAACTTGGTCAATAATCACAAATTGCGAGGACCTAGACAGTCGGCCCCAAATACTCCCAAGCGAATATCCTTTGGCCTTTTCCTCCATAATATACTCAGCTCCGCCTGAGTTCGACCTGTCTGTAGACTAGGCATAGATGTGCGGGACCGGAATCCCCAAGAACTCGCGGACCTGGCATATGTCAGCATCTTCAACATCGCATGAAAAAACCTACATACAAAATTTCGGGTGGCTACTTCCGAGGCTGTAGTAAAGAAAGCAGGGCCGGCGTTAGGATTGGGCAGCCTAGCAACAAGTTGTTCGCCATTATCCATCGTTAATACGAAGGCTTTGCTGTTCTGTCCTTCCACACATTTCGACACCTTCACGCCTGTTTGGCATGGTTAGCTGAACAGACTACCATCCTTCCAGAAGCTTGGATTTTATATCGCGCCCCCTTATAGTCAGTGGATAGATTGGCTGCCTCAAGGAGGTTGTCTAGGTTGGATTCACGGTACCGTGCAGCCAGATGTTGGGGATCTCTCCTTCTAGTACTGTTATGAGACTAGTTGAACAAGCTCGAGATGTTTAGGTACATACATCCATCTGTATCGTTGATATTTGAATATCTCATCTTTGTTTATGTGCACTTCTATGATTCATCGGTTTTATTCGCACTATGAAGTCAAAAAGCGATTACCTGAGCCATCTTCCAGGAGCCTGACTAGCACTGGCTTGATTCCAGAGCATAGGGTTGTGTGGGTAGTGAAATGGCGTCTGACAACGCGTGGTACAGCCCTTCCAGTGAGGAGAGAGAATGATAGTCTTGGGGGCTGCATGTCTACATTGTGCACCCTTGATTGAAGTGAAGGTCTTATCCCTGGATAATGTCGGCCTTAGATACTATTTTGGGTTGCCGGCACGTGGTACTAAGGAGAGATAAGCTCTGTCACGTGAATTGCTTGACTCTCATCTTAGGCATCAGCCAAGCTCAATATTATCTTCTCCTTCAACTCATCCTACAACTCAATTCGTTTGTCGGAAGTCTTAGTCTTTCTTGGACCCATAAGAGTGGTAATAAACTCACAGTGATTTCCTACAGTTTCAGGCACACAGATATTCAGTTTAGCATCCTACAAGGATGGTTTACAACGGAAAACCAAGTCTAGCCTGCGAACGCTGTCGCCCGCGGCGCCTAAAGGTACCGGCGTGTCTCTATTTTGTTGTTTATTCTACTTTACCATCTCTGTGATTAGCCGTCATGTACATTGGCAGACGCGGAGAGGGGCAGAGTGAATGGTGTAAATGTTGAAATAAGCTAAACAAAAACTGCCATCCAATAGTGCGATTGGGGGAAACCAGCATGCTCCCAGTGCATTCGGGCCAAAGTTGACTGTCCCGGGTATCGATCTGCTTTGGAGTATACCTTTCGTGACCAGAGTCGTGATGTTATTCGCAAGGCACAACTCAAAGCCGAAAAGGAATCCAAAGAAATTAGCAAGCGACAAAAGCGGACCGTCAAGGGTGACGGCAACCAAATGCTGACTTACTCGCCTTCACCTTCCTCAAGCCTATCGCATCCAACCGCAGAACTGGCGAAGGGATATCTCTTTGTGAATTACATTGCCAAGGGTGATCGAGGGGCGTATATGCCGTACCTTTCGACTTTGACAAATCATTTGAAGAGCTCCGCTGTGGACGATGCTCTTACGGCTGCCGGTCTGGCGGCAATGTCCAATATCCATAGGTCCCCCCAGATGATGTATACAGCCCGTAAACACTATATGACTGCGTTGTCGCAAACTAATAACTCCCTCGGTAACGCGCATCTGTGTACGAGGGATGAAACTTTAGCAACAGTTGTGCTATTGAGCATGTTTGAAGTGAGAGATTCACCTGAGTGGCAAGCTGCTTTATCTTAACGAGATTTTTCCCAGGTATTGACCTGCGGCGATGACCTCTTTATGACAAGATGGATCAATCACTTAGATGGCGCGGCAATCTTGATTGAGACCAGGGGTCGAGAGCAATTATCTCGACCGGAAGGATTGGCGCTATTCAGTCAGTTACGTACCCAGATAGTGAGTTAACCTAGTCGGATCCTCAGCTACATCTCTTTCAGTGGGATAAATATAAAGCCCATTCGGGGAAGATACTAATCAGAGGCTACCCAGGTGCTCAGTCATGTGTATCGGCAAAAGCATACCTCGGCAATTATTCGTGGTCTCAGTCAAGAAGCAGCTAAATACCGACTGAATAAAGACGATGCAATTATCGATCGACTGAGTGGCGTGACCATTCCACTCGGTGATCTCTGTGCCGATATCAAGGAGGGTACAATAAGTTGCCCTTCGGACATAGTGCGTTGCGCCTTAGAATTAGATGCACAGCTCCAATCGATAATGTCCGATATACCTGCTTCAATGGGCTACAGGACTGTCAACGTTGCCCTAGCTCACAGAGTGCATATGGATAACACTGTTTGGGGAGCCCAATATCACACTTACCGAGATATTACCGTGAGTAGCTTCTGGAACAACTATCGATCTGCCAGGCTGGTACTCCTGGAATTGATCGTTGAAGCAATCAGAGCCATGAAGACTCCTTTGCTCGGCAACACAAAAGAAGCACATCATCATGTATTGCGGCAATGCCAGGAAATATCCCGTCAATTAGTTGAGGATATTTGCGCAAGTGTGCCATTTCATCTCGGATCGGTTGTGGACGACAACCATGTCGACAAAACCTCCAGTCATTCAACCTTTCAGAGCTCGTCAGACATGGATAAGCATCGTGCATCTAAGTCGCCTCGCTTGTCCTCTGGGTCTCCATTGGTGGTTCCAGCGGCCGGGGGTTTCGCCTTAATGTGGCCTTTGTTGATTGCTGCGGATTCTGGTTATGCGTCCAAGGAACTTCGAGCTTGGATCATAAGTTGTTTAAGCAGAATTGGCCGTTCTATGGGAATCAACCAGGCATTAGCAATGGCACAACTGGTACGAGAGGGCGAGAGTACGCGGGCCTGGCTATCTCCAGAGTATTCTTCGCCGGAACAAGACGACCGGGATGGGGCAGTGTTGAACGAAGCCGGAGCTCTATAGACAGCTGACAACGCCTTCCGCTTCTCTACACTGATTTAGTATTATTCAGGCATGAAAAAGGCATGAAAAAGGTTTACGACTCTTCGACTTCTCAAACAACAAATGCTTTTGAATGAAAGATGGCAAAAAATCAACATTATTATCAAACTCTCAACTTCCAGACTTTTGTTTGCCTGATTTCTCGCCACATAGTAGACGCGACCACCGGGAGCTGTTGTATTCGGCTAAACTGACTCGTACCCGCCAAGGTTATGGGCATTGCGGTGATCAAGAGGCGAAGTATTGAACTGCATATTCCCGGACTGATATGACTGTTTCTGAGAAATTGAATCTGTCCTGTTCACTGCGACTTCAGAACGTGGAGTAAACACACCCAGCACGGCGTACATCAGAACCACAAGGAATTCCTCGATGGTGGCCATGCACAGCCGGATAGTAAAATTTCCATCGACCAAGGAAAATTGACGGTCATGGCTGAAATCGGTGATAAGACTGTACAGCAGACGACAAGCGATCAACGGCAACGCTGACAGAACCACGCCGACGATACGCTTCTGGCTTGGTGCCATCCGAGGGAGGTCCCTGACTGTTGTCGACCACAGGATGCAAAGCACGATGTATATTGCGAGGAACAGGATGATTCCAGCTTTGGTTTCGTTTTGTCCTTCAGAATGTTCGGAGGTGTTTGACGAGTATTGATTTATTCCGCCGATGATCGAAAGAATCAACGCAATAAGGGCTGGGATATGGAGTAACTGAACGACTTTGCTGCGACCAGAGATAGCGGTTGCTTTCTTGTTATAGATTTCTAGACTAAGTTCAACTGTGTCAGCGTCAAAACTTCCCCGGATTAAGTATTGGTTCTTACATCTTCGTTGCGACAATGCTGAAGGAACTCAATCTCTGCAATAGTGAAGTGGCTTTGGAGCCTTGGGCTGATGGCCCATGGTCGCATATTTCATCGAAACTGTCAATTGTGAGTTCCTTGATGGGGTTAAAGCAACAAAGTCGTTTAGGTGATAACATACACTCTCTTCAATAAGCCAAGACTAGACAGCAGTAGTGGAGAGAGCCCCACTGACTGCAATATGATAGCCCACTCCACATCAGAGGTGTTGTCTGGATGCGAATCACTGAGGATCTCCATCACAGCACCTGCGATTCTAATTCCGCTGAATATGAAGAGGTAGATCCACCCGAGCTGTCTGTGAAAGCCATGGCGGAGGACGACGAAGGGAGTAACCAAGGATATGGGTATATAGACGATTAACTCGGCAATCGCAACACCTTTTTCTGTGACGACAGTCATTTTTGGTATTGACCCGACTAGGACGCGGACAGAATGACACGATAATCTTCCCTTTCTTTATCTTCCGAGTGACTTGAATGAATCAAATTTTGTATCATCATAGCTCTGAGCTACAGCACGGCCGGATGCGGCCTTTATAGACAAGCCATCCAAGAAAGTTTACCATGAAGACTTCTATTTCATGAAAACCTTTGAAGTCTCGTATGTCCGTACGAAACACATCACCCCTTTTGGCAAGTATCCTCGTTCGGTGGCTGAGACGTGGCCCTACAAGGACAAGGCAGCAGCATCGGATCGGAGGGATTCTCCGTGTGATACGTTAAAACTCCGTTCTCGACTAATGCCAAGCTACGTACAAAATCCTTGTCTGAGAGCGGCCCTTTTTTTCTAATATTATGGGCGATGTCTAACTGACGTGGGGCTGAGTCCACATTGCAAGGCTTCGTTTTCTTTGACTTTTGAGCTGCCGGCTACCCCGCGTTACCGCATCGGGAAATCTTATTCGTGCCTACGAATCACTTTCCAGATTAGGGCTAGCCTCATCCGCATATAAGATGCTGTTACGATTGGTCAACTTTCTAACTAACGGACATGGAAATATGACTGCATCGAGATACAGTTACGTGCAACACATTTATCCTATTACATGCACTGCCAGAGAATCATGGTTTGGGCACAGAGGCTCAGAGAGGCGCAGCTCAGTGCTGTCAATGCGTCTGATGTCAGTACTTGTCCGAATTGATGTTGTATAATATCAAGGAGTTGGGCAGAGACCATATAAATATCACTGCTCATCTCAAGCATTCAACTAATTTCTATACTGCCCATCTGAATAATTCAAATCTTGCTTAGGAGCTCGGCTGAGAAGACCAAGAAGACGCGATAGCTTCAGCTTCACATCAAGATGCTATCGCACAAAATCCTCTCCCTAGCCTCCCTCATAGGGCTATCCCTAGCCCTCCCCAAGGCCAGATCCCCCAAGCTCGACTCCAACCCCATCCCCGGCGAATCCCCCCTCTTCGCAACATACACCGGCAAGCCCACCCCCATCCCAGCCAACTACACCCGAGTCATCCCAGCAACAGCCTCCGGCCCCGCCGGTCCCGACGACCTCCTATTTCAAAACCTCCTCAGCGCCGAATGGATCATCTACTCCTTCTATCAACAAGGCGTGGAAGCCTTCACCCCCTCCTCCTTCAGCGACCTCGGCTACCCAAACAGCACCTACGACCGCATCGCTGAAATCCGCGACAACGAAGCCGGCCACATCCGCATCTTCCAAGATGAAATCTCCTCTACATCCCTGAAGCCAGGCCCCTGCAACTACAGCTTCGGCTTCGACAACGACCCGGAAACCTTCCTCGCCCTTCAAGTCTATATCGAAGTTAACAGCATGGCCTTCCTGACCGGCCTCGTCCGCGAATCCAATACGACCGATACCAGCTCCGCACTCGTCGCCGTTGCGGAGGTCGAGACCCGTCACAACGTCTGGTCCCTCATTGATGTCTGGGACGTGAGCCCCTTCGCTGGACCGGCGGATACGGTGTATCCTTACGCGAACCAGATCCTGGCGTTGACCAATTCCTTCGTCGTGTCGGGGAGTTGTCCTTCTGAGAACCCGGAGTATCCGTACCCGAATCAGAATTTGCCGGGGATTGGGTTGGTGACGAATACTACTACTGGGCATCCCGGATCGAAGATTCAGTTGGAGTTTAGTAATGATCCTGGGTTTACTGAGAGAGGGGATTACTATGCGGTGTTCTTTCACGGGGTGCTGAATATTAGTGTGCCGTTTGATATCAAAACTAATGAGACGGTTATTCCGGGGGAGTTTGATAAGGGGGCGGGTATTATTGCCCTCGCTGTGGCTGATGAGGCTGGGGCGCCGACGGAGGACAGCGTACTTGCTGGGCCGTTGTTGCTGTTGCAGCAGCCGGAGAAGTTGACACTTCTGGAGCCTTGATATAGTTGTGATGGATGGTAGGGGGCTGGGTATTGGGTTGTGGGGTAAGCGATGAAGTGATGGGTGTGGGGGATGAGTGAGATGCAGTCATATTTATGATGATTTTAAATGTGATGTTCAATTGCCATGAAATATTATGCAACATAGATCCTGTAGATATCCCGCCATAGCCACACTAGGCTGTAGAATTCTCGTATTCTCATTCATCTACTGTCGATCCTAATCTAGCCAGTATGAGCCCACCATAGAGACAAGCCCACTACTACAACTGAAAGCCAAACATGTAGATCATCTATTACAGATCTGTCATATTTCCACGTGAGCCCAACCAAGCATCAATCTCCTCTAAACAATCTCCACCGTAGCAGTTTCACCTCCTTCAAAGATAGGACACAACCTGCTATCCGTACCTGCTAGCAATCTATCCCACAGACCAACACCCCTTCTCTCAAAAGCGCCTGGTTTGCGCGTCGATGGCACTGATATGAGGAACCATGTTTCCGGGCCCATCCTCTGATTCCGTTCAGACACCCAAGAAAATAATCGGAGGCAGTAACATGATTCGTCTGGATTGTTCACCTCTGGCTGGTCCAGAGTCACACCTACCATGTCTCCATTCGAGCACCGCACAAAGGTATCTCGTCGAATTTCTTCTTCATCGATGATGGGACCTTGGTGATTTCCTCCAGCGGTTTCATGTGTTGGTTCGGGGCATATGAGCTTCACTTGCGCAAAAGCGCTCTTTACAATAGAACCGTCTGTAACAGCACTCATAGGGTCCTCCAGTAGCTCATGTTGACAGTGAAGTCGCTCAACAATGCACTGATCAACTGCCACGGGTTCATATTTCCATATCTCCAAAGGAAGGTCAAATCGATAGGTGACAGGTCTTCCCACAGATGCTCAAGACCAGCTTGGGATATAATATGCAGCTTCATTCGCATTCACAGTCCCACTCTCTGGTACCTCCGCCCCTTCACTTAGGGGCTCAACCTCCCATGTCAGATCAAAAGGAAGCTCTTTCCTCCAGAGACCAGCCAGATACTCATCCGCTGCTTCGAGCTCTTGCCGCATATGATTTCCCGCCATTTTTGCAAGTCCGGAAATAGCCCGCAACCGATCATGCCTTTTGCTGAGTGACCGGTGGGAATAATCCGAGACAAGATCTCTCCATCTCTGGTACGGTGCCTGGTGAGGCTCAAGCCATAACCGTGAGCCCAGCGAAGACCGATGCCACTCCGGATATCCTTGTCTCTCGGATCGGACTTTCGTCTTCAGGATTTCGGTTTTGATGGAAGCCCCGAGCTTGCCGTAATCGAGCGTCGTGTGTCTTGGTACTTGGGGTGCCACTGCGTGTCCGCATTCACAGAGCTGGCGACAGAGGCACTCCCAGATCATTTCGTTGCCATCGTAGCAGAGTCTGCGGTTCGGTAGGACGGATTCTTGTAGGCACCATCCTCTTGTGTCGAGAGATGATCGGTCTCGATATGATCTGGGGTAGAACTTTCCGGGGCGTATTAACAGGTCCAAAGGAGGGGCGGTGTCGGGGCGGGTAGTGCAAAGGAGTTATTGCCAGGTAGGATCACCGAAGCGCTGTTTGCCGAGGAATCCCATTTTGCATGAGTTGGGTTCCATGACTGAGATGGTAAGGTACGAGTTGAGATTCATATCTTGCATTGCAGATGCATCGTGTAACCAGGAAATACGATCATCTTGGACGATGCACAGAGAGTCGACCCATAAATTAGGTATCTCAAGGCTTCGGCAGACAGTAATGGCATCTTGAAGGGCGAGTGGTAACGTGGAGAGTTCAATAGCTTGGTAATGCGACTCCAGGTTATGGGTCGTTGTAGTCAAGACTTGGTGGAGATCCTTTCCCCAGCAGTAGCTAAGGCATGCGTAGCGTACTGGCTCGACAGGTTCGAAAAGGAATGGCTCGTGTGTGCCATTCGACGAGCCGACATTGATAAGACGCCGCGGTTTGTAATCAGGGTTCGGGGGCTTACAAGCTTCGTCATGCTCGTCACAGTATGACAACCAGTGACGGGCTCGTTCAAAAGCTGCTGGTGAGCCTGAATCAGGCGTCACTTCATGAGACTGAGCGAGAAATTTCCCCGTATATTCGAGGCTCTTGCCCGCTTGCCAATCGAAGAACTGCGCTTCGTAACGTGCAGTGGCAGCACGTTTGAGAAAGTGGAAGGTTGTAGGTTGGTCCAAGTCAGCATCCTCCCTTCCTTCGGGCTGCTGCAGATGCAGGGTAAATTGAGGTACTATAGTAAACCAGTCGTCCTCTTATTTCGCCCGCTGGTAGTCAGCTAGACCGAGATACGCGTTCTTATTTACCCAACCCGGCTTGACAGCTTCAATGACTTGCAACACCAGATTACAGTCCAAACAGATAGACGCATTGATCAGGAAGATGGCAATGGGGGTATTCTCAATTCCAATGTAATCCGCCCTTTTCCGCAGAACCACGTGTGGACAAGTCTGGTTTGGGTCTGCATCTGGATCAGAGGTAAAAGGCATTTTCGGTATTGCAGCTGAGCTTGGGGCTCCTAGGGTAGGATTAGGATTAGCAGTAGCACCCACTGAAAGAATGATTGACAGCATCAGTGCCCGCTGCCCCGCTCCAACAGAAGGTTTTCTCATCACGCCAGTCGGGCGTTAAGCGATAAACACGAGACAAGCCACTCTGCTCAGCCTCATCCTCTTCTTGGTCAAGGTCAGCAAAGCGACGAGGGTCCTAGTCATCCGGGACGAGATGAACAGGCCGTTTATGGAATTCATCATGACCTATCGCCATAAGATCCATATCATTGAACTCCGGGCTTGTTATAGTCTGCGGGGAAGGAGGCCCTCGCCCAATTGCAGCAAAAGCAAAGATGAATATGATGCCTGACATATGGTGCCTGAGAGACGCTTATATCATGTGATCTCGGCTATGGTGATCTAACCCAGTTGGGTTGAATTGTTCCATACTCAGTTAGTGTCAGCCTTAACGGATGAGGCTTCCGCATGATTCAATTTTTAAATAACCCAACAAAATAATCAAACAGCCAAGGAATACAGACCCAGCACTTATACCTAGCTGTGCAGCATAACATAAAACAACTTGAATCAATACGAGCCCCAATGTAACCTCAGACTTTGGGTGATTCCTCCGTCCAATCGGATTCCCTACAATCAAACTTGTGATTCGCCGGACTCTCGGCAACCCTAACCTCTACCAGTAAAGGCTAATCCTACCCCCACCCGAGATTCGCATGGCTTGGACCCCTGAAATATAGTCCCTTTATGTGCCTGAATATGGAGCTCGTTATTCGTCTTGCAGGGTCTTCGAGCCTTGGCCTTGGGGCTGCCAAGCGGGCGGCGGAGTGTGCCCCGTGGTTCCTTGATTTGGGCGTAAATGTGATTTCTATCATCACTTGATAAAAGCAAGACCCTGCATCGATGAGGAACCCCAGTCAACAGACCGATTTTAGAGAATCGTCGAAAGATAGATGTGTCTGATCTCACTTCATCACAATGCCATCAACTTCTTTGCGCCTCACCATCACGTTGGCGCTGTCCATCTGCAGCAGTGCCCTATCGAGCCAGAGAGATGATTCATCTGTGGTTCCCTTTCCTTTTGACCATCTTGAGGATGTCCGTGTTGTCAAGCGGGGCAGCCTCAAGACATTAGAAGCTTCCCTAGTGATATATGTCAGTCTGCCATTTCACTCTCCATACATATCACGAACTCGACAACCCTAACAATCAACAGGGCGACAGCTACTGGATGAATGCCTCGATCGGAACACCTCCGCAGTCACTAAGTTTCCTACTTGATCTTACGCGCTCAAGGGTCGAGCCCGCATACACCCTCGATGAGAACTACACTTGTTCCGACGATGAACTCTGCTCGGAATTCGGCTTCTACAAACCTACCGATTCATCCACCTATCAGCACCTCACCTACACACAGAAACACGATGCAGGCGTCGACTACACCTACTCCGATACCATAACGCTTGGAGACCACGCAGCCGACCAAGTCCCACTCGACATGTACCTTTTGTCCTACATTTCCTGTCAGTTTCTCCCCTCTTCCTCACCACTCACCATTAGCCCATCAACTAACACTCAAGTAGACAGCTCCCTCGGCCTCTCCTCCGTCAACACCAGCTTCCCCTACATCCTCGTTGACCGCGGCCTGACCACCTCCCCCTCCTTCAGCCTGATTGGCGACAACGGCAACACCACCACCCCCAGCATTATCTTCGGAGGTATCAACACCTCCAAATTCAACGGGCCCCTGCAAGCCTTCTCCTTCGCTGATCACACCATTACCAACAACCCCTTCGTCACTCTCGAAGCCGACTCCCTCCAACTAACCACCAACACCAACGACAATTTAACCTACCCCATCCCCTCTTCAACTCCAATGATGCTAAGGACCGACGAACTAATCACCTACCTCCCCAACTCAACCGTCCAATCCCTTTACAACGACCTGAACATAACCACCGACGGCGTAATTTCCAGTTCAAGATTCTACGGCGTCCTTCCCTGCTCCCGCCAGGAAAGCAAATTCCATACTTTCTCCCTAGTCATTGGAAACATGACCTTCTCTGTAGGCTGGGATGAGCTCTTCGTCCCCTGGACGCGTGACGGACTGTGCAAGTTCGGTATCCAGGCCCAAGAGTCGGATTACAAGACCCATGCGGAGCTGGGTGTTCCCTTTTTGAGAAGGATGTATGTCGCCGTGGATTATAATGATCAGTTTGTAGGGGTGGCGACGCTGAAGGATGATGATGATCAGGATGAGGGTGAAGATGAGGTAGTGGAAATTGGCACTGGAACGGCGTTGCCGAGTGCTGTCGGGGATTGGCCGGCCAGTGTTACGGCGTATACTCCTGCAGCTTCGACGGGAACGGCCGCTGCCACTTTGACATTTACGACGGCGACGTCGAGTGGTGGAGGTGTGGTGCCCACGGGTCTATCAGAGATGAGTAGGGCGTTGTTGGTCCCGGGAGTGTTGGGGATGGCGGTTCTGCAGGCTGTCTAGACATGGGATTGTGGTAGGATCATTTTGTATTTGAAGTATTTCTGTACATTGTTTTTCTACTTAGTAATTTGATATGTGTACACCATATGGACCACTGTCAACTGCTTGCATGAACGCTGGATTATTGATCCGTATACTATAGACCAGATAGAATCCCTTTTCACTTTGCATGCATATAGCCCCTATATATTTAGAATGATAAGAAGACATTAATATTATCATTTTCATCGTCACATCGTCACATAACCGTTAGACAATACCGATATTGTATATAATCACGTGAACATACAGTCCTCCAAATCACCTGACAAAGCGGTCAACAGTGCCAAAACCCACTGACCGCCGGGATTCGATCGGGATTCCGGGGTATTCCCGACATCCACAGTAGCCTCAAATGTAGACGATTTCCGCCCGGAATTGGTTCTTGGCGCAGCCTTGAACATGCGAATAGGACCAATCATTGGATTTCTTCCCCTGAGGGCGCGCTTATTTAGTTATTGTATCATGCTATCATCGGATTTGCGCTCACATAGATATCAAGTCCGATTCATTTTGTGCAGCCGTTGGCAAGACGGGAGGGACATAAGTACCCTGCTAAGGGTACAGTCCAGCAGTAAGGTAAAAGCGATAGCACCTTAGCATTCAAGTGAATAAAAGTTACCAAAATCAAAATGCTTGACCTCTCACCTCCACTCACAGCTCCCAGTCTGTCTGACGACAACTCCAACACTACAAACAGTCGAAAGACCCGTAACAGCTGCAACGCTTGTGCCAAGTCCAAGTTGCGCTGTGGAAAGCAACATCCTCGGTGTGAGCGTTGTGTGATGAGGAATCAAGCTTGCACTTACGGACTTGCTCGACCAAAAGGACGGCCACGACTCTCTCATCGCTCGCCTAGTATCTCTCCCCCTTGCTCGACAGGTCTAGACCTGAACATACTCTCTACGCTCTACGATCCTGAGTTGATTCCGGACAACTATCTCGACTGTTCTTCGGGGACTACAATCACATCTACATCAACTCTCATTTCTCCTGGCAGTCAACATCTGGAGGACTGGCAGTTCTTGGACCACGAGCTTAACCTTCCATTTGACATCACTACAATTCAACCAACTTTCACACAACAGCCTGTGCAGCCAAGTAATCAGATGGACTTGGCACTTGATTTGGCCTCACCTCTGCCACACTTCTCGCCCGCATCTCTTCCAGGCCCAAGTAACTCTTCGGAGCACGCTCAATCATGCACTAGCTTGATCTTGGACACACTCAGAACACTTTCACTTCCGCTTGGTTCTTGTCGCCGAAATGCGACTGTGCCTCAAAGTCCCAGTCTTGGTACACTTCTACGGCTCAATAAGGAGGCAATGGACAACATCAAAGTGGTGGTGGAGTGTGATTGCTCCGTGGAACCGTATTTTCCCACGTTAGTGGCCGAAGTACTAACCAAGATTCTCAGGTGGTATCATAAAATCATTCTAGATTTCGATTACCTTAATTGTTCAATCCCTACGGTTTTGCTATGTCCTTCAATGAGAATCGGGGAGTTCGAACTGAGCAAGCGTGATTCTAGACGGGTGGTAGCCCAAGTGCTCACGAATGAATTGGACAAAGTACAAACGCTGATTGAAACCTTCGAACGGCGTTTCTGTTACTATGATGAACCCGATAATTATCATGAAGTGGCAGTCTGTACTGCCTTCGAGGCAGGATTTCGGGAAAGCCTGAAGAATATCAGAAGCCAGGCGGTGCAGAGAATGGCTGGCTAGGGTGACTTTGATTGCTTAGCGAGTGGATATGGGTTGCCATCCGTGCTATCCCGTACATTCTTGTACATAGGTGATATAGGTAAAACGGCGAAACTAACGAACCCATGAGAATTGTGCAATCGTCGGGAATTTTAACAATCGTACAATCTTCATTTTTGGCGCGTTCCGGCTTTCTGGTGGTGATAAATCCCAGAGAACTCTGACACTCGTGCATCGCTGTAGGCCGTGACAATAGTGTAGACAGTTTCCGTACATACTAACAAGAATCCCGCTGTAGCGCATGTACATCCGGCTTGGTTTGTGCACCAGTCCGGTCATCCATTTTCGGTCTGGTTCATGGTGTTCAGCATATCTGTTAACCAGTCATTATCCCCCATCAGTGGCAAAGCATCCGACGATATAGGCTGGGTATTGGGAAGAGTCTGATAAAGGATTGGTGGGACTGGATTGACCAGAGATGACCCTATAGGATCAGTATCTAGCCTCGTTTCCCACCCCACGCGGACAGCATGATATGTCTGAGCTATTGTAGAGAAGATATCCGCTTCAGGACCTCCATCCAGGCCATTTATGGTCGAGACTAGACTCATATGACTGACGATGGTGTCCAAAATCTTCAAGATATCGGCCGTTCGTCGAACATTGGCCGTATCCCAAAGCGGACTCTCCAGAGTTGAGAGCTGAAAGAGAGTTGCCAGATTTTGGACCATTTGTGAGAATACGGCGAATGGGAAACCAATGTATTCCCCAGGAGGTATGCTCAAAAAGACGTCGAACCATGACTTTGTGGCGTCAAGACATCCGTACAGGTAGTCGAGGTGCTCATACGTCACATTAACAGTTGATGAAATGGCACCGTTCGGGAGTGCAGACTCATAGAGACTCAACGAAGTATTGTAATGATGCAAAAGAACGATTTCTAGCCAATATGAGTAATGGAAGCCGGATGTAGTGTATGTATTCTCGAACACTGACTATATCCCTTGGAGTGAGAGGCGTGTCTTCTCATAATTTCCTGGAGGCGTGACTGCAGCTGTGTCTGCATTGGGCGGAGATAAACGGAAGGCGACGGTCGCATCGACTCAACGCTCGATGAACCTCCATACCTGCTACCCAGATCTAGTCTGTCCGTGACTAATTGAAGTCGAACTTGCTGCACAAGAATACCATCATTGGCACACTCTTGCTGCTCTTCAAGAAGGCGAAGACAGTCCTCCAAGTGAGGTGTCCAACGCAAAGATTCACTCTGCTGAAGGAAGGTCGCGATACTGAATGAGGTTAGTACATCATTTATGGTGATTTGGCGGGGTCATGGGGAGTCATTACGTCGATGTCAGTAGAAAGCACCCCAGAACAGCCCTGCGCTCCTCCATAACCTGGCGCGGGGGTGCTGTGCGGTTTTCGTGTGGCTCTGGATGAACGCACAGCAGCATGTGCTTCCCCTTCGCCTCTGGATTGAAGAGACCCATTTCGTATACAATCCCCGTCGCTAACTGTGCAAATACATAGATGTTGGCTTTGTTGTAGACTTGCTGATTGGACCTTGACACCGCATGTCAGCCGACAGGCAGTGTCCGTGATGACTGACTACATACCATCCAAGATATAACAAAAGCCCTTGTAGCATATCAAGTTCACGGCATGAATATTCATGCACCAATCTCTGCGCTACCGTGTGTTTGATGCGATCAAAGAGAATGCGACTTTGTGCGCTGCTTTTGGACGCGATAGCCATGATACAAAGCCAGGTAAATGGTTTATCACGATGAAGTTTCTCTGCAGTAGTGCCTGACGGGACATACAGGCAGGGAAAGCACGGTAGCATCTTAGTGAGGAATATAGTAAAATATTCCTCTGCCTGGATGCCTGTCGGCTCCATGGCATGCTCGGCCGATGCGCCGGTGGATAACGAGCCTCCGCCGTCCGACAGGCTAGCTTCTGGCGTCGACTCTGTGTCATTTGTGCGACGAGTATCAATTGAGTTGAGCCCCGAGCTGCTCATGGAGATGTCAGATCGGCCTGGTGGCGACGCAGCATTACTGCTGGCGGACTTCTGGTTTTCGGGTAATTGCGCCAGCTCTCTGAGTAAAGTTGTAGAAGCATTTCCGGGGTGTACGCCAGCTCGGAGCAGCGCAACCAAATCTTCTATCTTATTCTCCAGCCGGTTCGTCTTCGATATATTCTTAGATACGGCTGATCTTCGTTTGGTCGAGCGACGGGTAGTAGCAGGCTGGCGGCATTCCTTGTCCAGGCGTTGGCATCTATGAATTCGTTATGATGGCAACTAAACAGGTAAGCAACATACGCACCTCTGACATTTCTCGCTGGCTTTGGAGTAGATGCACTTGCACTTGGCCTGTGAGCAGTCTACGCAGGAGCGACCGTAGGGAGCGGCATAGGTGTCGTGCTGCGGGGAATTGTCCCTGGTGTCGCTCGACTCCGCAGCTGTACTGCGGTCAGTCGGGGCCATTGACCGGCTGCAACGCGCTCCACAAAGCGTTGCTTCTCACTGCGCAAGAGAGTCAGCAATTACGAAGGTGTAACAAAGCAAGGTAATGGGAGACATTAGGAAAGTCAGTGAGATTGAATAAGTGAGAGAGTGAGAAAGCGCAAAGGAGGGCGGCGTGCCCAGGCGCTAGTGGATGACGCTAGCGCCTTGAATATCAGGCATCTATTTTCAATGTGAGACAGATAAGCGGGCTTCTTGTAGTCCAAGGCTTCGAAGTAGTGGCTAATCAGTCCTGTATTGTGATGCTGAGTTCTTAGAAGGAAGAAAAGGCGTCTATCATTCGTCATTATTATTACGATGTATCGCATAAAATCACCATTCAGCATAGGCCACAGATCTGCTACAGTTAAGTTTCAGATCCATAAAAGAATAGAAAAGCTCATAAAAACAGGATCTATCCATTATACCATATACTCTATGTCTAACGGCACCTCACACTGGGTGCTGGTCATCTGTGTAACACCATCGCGCCAGTAGCTTAAGCCTTATTCTGGACGTGTTTGCTCATGGCCCGAATCCGGTGGCCATAGCGGTAGAGTAAGAATGGCACAGGAGCCATGATGGTAGCCAAGATACCCACCATGGTGAGCACCCAGTGTGGAGTCATATGTTGGTACATCGGCACGGATGCGGGTAGTAACGCGCCCGAGATAACGTATCGGCTGAACGAAACGAAGGCGAGGGCGGAACCGGCATAGGTTGTATACACGAAACAGATGTAGAGGTACGTCGCAGTGAAGATGGTGACAAGAGAGTAGCCGAAAACGAACGTGCTAAGAATTGGTGACCAGATGCTGACACCGGGCTGTGTTCTGCTGTCAGTAATGTTGGGGTTTCGCAGAACGAGCCAGTGACGACTTACATAGCAGGTCCATCCCATCCAGAACAGGGAGATTGGCATCAGAATCGAGCCCCCAACCATTGCCCAGTAGAGCGATACCTCCGCCTGTAGGGCTTTTCCTTCGGCTGCAGCCTTAGCCGCCGCCCGCTTGGTCCAACGATAGAGGATCGGTATGAGCACGAGGGCAACGGCGTCTCCCGCAAGCATGGACACGAAGATGACGTAAGTGAGGGAGGTGGAGATTCCGTAAGTGTCGGAGAAGATGAAGGGAAACCCGTTCAGAAAGGTGAACAATACAATGTATAAGAGGACCAGGTAGAAGGAGAAAACCAGGATGATTGGCTCCATGTAAGTCATCTGAAATGGACGGTAGACATTGACAAGAAGACGACGACCGAGAGAGCTGGCAGATGCATACTCATCGACCTGGTAGCGACAATCTCCTGTCTCATCTCGAAGATGTTTGGCTCTCCATTGCAGTAGCAACGGGCCGTAGGTTTCTGGCTGGAATATGGCCACGAATATGAGGACTGCTCCGGCGATGATGAGTGAGATCCAGTCAACCCAGATGAATGCGGATTTTGGAATATAAGCTCCAATTATAGGGCCAAGTATAGGCCCAGAGTATGATGCCAAAGTTACAAATGGTAGGCTAAACGTGAGCTCGAGAGGGCTCCAAAGATCACCCACCGTGCCACCCGCAACGGTCATCGGGGCGGCACCAAAGAAACCGGTTAGAAAGCGAAAGACAATAGCAGCTCCGTAATTAGGAGCCAGTGCCTTCCCCATGACGAACAGCATGAAAAGGGCCAGATTGGTGAAGTAGACAAAATTTCGGCCAAAGGTCTCCGAAATAGGACCGACAAACAGCGAGCCAAAGCCCACACCTATTAGATACATACCTGTTCGGGAAACACAATCAGCCTGGCATTTTCAGACGTTCGTAAGGTCGACTTACCGGTGGTCATGGACCCCGCAATTGCGCCCACGCCATAGTGTTCATTAAAGGCATCAGAAACTGGGGCGTCTATGGTACCGGGTATGGTGATGGCCAAGGCGATTAGACAGGTTGCTACCGTGCAAAACCATTTCTTGAGGCGGCTCCAGTTTTGAGGACTGTTAAGATCGCCGTCTTTCCAGCCAACCAAAAAGGTAAGAGAGCCATCTTGCTCGTCTGGACGGGAGATTTGCACACCAGGGAGAAGGGCAGATGCCTTCGTTTCGACCCCCGAGGAGCTGTCGGAATAAGTGTGAATCCTGGCAATGTCTGCCCTCACGGCGTCTCGGAGACTGTTATACTGACGCAAAGTTGCCATAGTGCTCCACGAGTGCTTGGAATCCAGGTTGCAGCAAGGTAGAAGATGGGATAAATTCGCTTGAGCCAAACATGATGGCGGGCAGTGGTCGCAAGGTAATAAATACCTACGGCCATATTCTGTACATCACGCATGGTAAGTGGAGTGCAGAAAAGTCTCCGATACATACAGATTGTTGATGATGGTGATGATTAAGGGAGCAATGCTCACTCAACTCGGGCTTATACAAGTCACGGTGAAGCTCGATCTAATCCACGGGTAGAATCACCCCGAATGGATCGGCGGTTCGGCCACATTCCATGGCTCTGATTGGCCAGCAGCGACACTAATCATCTTGCCTCAGGCTGACACGGATGACTGGCCCGCCGATTCTGTCCGACGAAGTGGAATTTATATGAGCTGAATGATCTCGACAGTGAATTGCCCGGTTCGACTTTAGTTTCATACAAATTCTCATTTCTAGTTATAAATATCCACCTAGCCACTATTTA